TCCCACTTAGGGGTTAAGACCGGGGGCACCTGCTCGTTCCAGTAAACGGCAGGCAGACTCGCCTCCCTTCCCTTTACGGCTTTTTGCTAACTCCGTCCGGTTTTACCTCTAAGTCTCAGGCTTCTAACCCGTGACCGGCCGTCCGGATCTAACACCACCGACCGGCTGCGCGTCACCGACCACGTCAGCCTTCCCTCTTTTCGAGTCCTTCCGTACGGTTTGCGCTCGCGTGGGTTACCCAGCGGCGCGCGCTCCCTTACCTCTAACCCCCCTCGTTCCGAGTGGTCGGGACGAAGGTAGTTATACCACAATAATAGGAAGTCGGATGAGTGGTGTTGAAGGAAAGGCAAGAGAGGCGGTAGAGTTATTCAGTGCCATGCGGGAGGCGAGAGTGGACTTTGTGGGACAACGCATTGCCAAAGGAAAGAGGACCATGAACGAAGAGGACCGGAAGGAGCGGCTCGGAGCCCTCATTTGGTGGCGTGAAACCGAGCGGGCACGAAATCCCACAGGGGGAGGAGTGGTACGGGATCAAAGGTCGTGGATGAGGATGGCAATTCTGAATGCAAGGGCGAGGCTGAAAGTATGGTCGGAAGTGCACGAAGTAGCGCGAAGATGTGCAAGAGAGGATTGCTGACATTCAGCCCAATCGAGGATGAAAAGCTCATAACCGCCTTAGAGAACGGAGACGGGAGGCGAAGTGAGCTCGAAGCGACGAGGCTTCAGTTAGACTGGGACCAGTTCGAAGCGTAGACGGCCGATCGCGGGCGTGATAGGGAGGAGCGGAAGAAGTACAGGAAGGCAGCGAGGGAAACAGATCTTGAAAAGTTTCGAATCATGATCGGTATGCTACATAAGTTTAGAGGTTCAAAAAGTGGAAACAGAGCCCCGCAAGGTATACTTCTGCAGTAGTTGATGGCCGTCAGCCCTCAATTAAGCCCAATTCCATCGCTCCGCCAGAAGTCCGCCATTTCGCTAAGGCTCGCTTTTTACTATGCTCTTCTCACGCCTCTGCTCGTTACGGGCATTGCGCTCCGGGCTTGAGCCGCTGCTACCAGTAAGGTAGGTACGCGTTCGGAGGGCGCGTAAACGCGCAGCAGCGCCACGGTGATGACGGCGCTCCGGTCGGAACTGATCTTGCTGCAGCGGCATGCACGCAAAGTGCTCACCACGTCTGCAAATCTGGCTCACGTTGACTTAATATTGTCCTGGAGATAGAATATAGTCCTGCAGGGAAGGGGTAAGCACATGATATACTTAAATATTCGGTTCCGAGCATGCAAGTACGGAAGTTGTTCCGAAGCATGCATTTAATGTAAGGCGTACTGAAAGGAGCTTGGTGAACGCGAAGTTTGCGGCCGCAGGCCATTGTGATTCAGAACATCTTTAGCTCCTTCGGAAGCTGTTCCACTGTTATCCTTCTCGCCTCCATCACCACGTTGAACGTGCGTTCTTTAACAGTAAGCTGTGCAGGTTGGAAAGATACTTGTAGATATAAACGAAAGTTGCATCCGCTATCTCCATACACTAAATATTGCTTCTAGTTGATAAAGAGGGAGGTGGAAAGTTGGGAATTTAGTTTGAAGCGCATCTAGCGCTTCAAATTTTGCCTCCCTCCCACGGGACCGTATACATGCAAAGGAATTCCATCCGGACAAAAGTGGAGCTTGATACTTGAGGGCATGAAAACGTTTGTGTCCAATGTATAGTACCTTCTGTAGTGATTTATCATTTGGCGTGGCGATAGGTAGATTTTTTCTATCGATGAAAACTATACAGGGATTGAGAACCTGGGTTTCCTCGGAGACTACTGTTTGGTACTGCTCGGCACAGGCAGAAATAAACATCGCATGCAAGTACTCGTGATGGAACTCTCATAATGTTCAGTGAAGTTATCAATTGTTTCCCAGAACAGCTCAAAGAGGTGAGAGCTGTGCTTTCGAAGGAATGATTTGCAGTCTGTTCATATGTACGTCGTGGCTATTCAGATAAGGAAAACAGAAGCAGAAAGCAGTAGTGTAGCAGTGTATCGATTGCGCTTGAGGATGAAAGATCCGTCTTTGTTAAATACAAGTCGGAAGACTTTGAGAACGTTATTTCTGAGAAACTGTGATGCGAAAGACACGCATGGACTCCAAAGTTTGTGAGAAAATTCTCAAAGGTGGTTGTCGCAATGACATTGCTATCTCGCAGAAAGCCAGTGCAGTTCTTCGGGTACCTGCAATCGTTGTCAAAAACTCTTCTAAATAGCGCGTTTTCTACAAATGCCTTTTTGGTCTGCTGGTGGGTGAGAGGGTAGAGTGTGAAGCGCCATGTTTGCGCCCCACTTCTGGGTATGGGTTTAATGTTGGTCTTGAGTGTTGCCTTGCCCATGTTGCAGGACGAAAAATGGGCGAGGGAGGTCGGGGACCGGGGGGGGGGGGGGGGGGGGGGGGGGGGGGATTCTCATTTTCATAGTACTGCGTAAACTCATTTTTGCAATTGGCTTTTCGGAGTTCTGAAATAGCGGGCTCTCCTGAACTACCCAGAATAATTCCTGAAGTTTGCCAGAATTCTGGCAGTGTGTACTATCTGTGTTACAGTATACAGTAAAAGCCGTGGCTGTGGAGTCTCCCAAAGGGGGGAGGCAGGCAGACAGCTTATCCAAAAACTATCTGTATTTCTTAGGCCAAGCACTGAGCGTCAGTCCGCCCGCTGCTCTCTTTAAAGGACTGGTCTATCTGACCGGATATGTCTCGGGCAGCTGTCGTCACCGATAAGAAACGACGTCGACGAAGAGTGCAGAAATATGCAGCCGCTTGATTACAATAATAAAGGCAGCACGCTGAGAGGATCCTGGAAGAAGAACTAACGCGGTGACTATTGCCTACCTACTTGCTGTCCTTCCCTTATATTTACCTCTGCAGCCTGCATTTCTCTTGCTGATCAGCGTGGATCCTATGGCGCCCGGCGATTTGTTACAACATTACAAAGTTGGAGCGTGAATGAGGTTCATGGAAACATATCGTGTGGCAGTGTTTTTCTCCAATCGCGCTGACCTGGTGGCATTAGACGTTTTCGGAGACCCTGACAGATGGTTGATGAACGAAAGGCAGGTTTGTGGAATGCAGAGCAAAAATGGAGTTTCATAGGTAGTCTCCTGCCTTTATATTCTTCCATGAACTAAAACGGGCTTGTACAATTCGAGGACATTATTCATACACATTTCAGAATTGGGGCATGCTATATTACTCTAACGTATGTTGTACGCAATCCACTTCTCTCACGCCATGGGCGAAATTTATTGATGGCACGTATGGAATTGGAGAGAAAATAGTTCCGTTTTCTTTAGAAGGAAAATCCGTTCTTCAGATGTAATAGCGGCGCAGAACACTATCCCTGGACACATGCAAGGCTCTTGTTAACTCGGACTGTAAATAGAGCAATATCTCAGGGGGTCTGGCTCGTTGTCATATTTGTATATTGCCCCTTGAAGAGACAGGATTGCCCATAGCTCGGGAAGAGTGAGATGAAAACAGTGTCCCCTGGACCAGTGAGATAGTCCGCCCAAAACTTGCTTCTGTGAGTGAAGGTGAAACCCGAAGAGAGAGGGGGCTATCAATCATGCTTCGTTCATCACCTCGAGGACGCTCTAGAGTTCAGGTTAGGGTCTGAAGGATTCGCGCCAACAGTTGTGCAGCTATGTATGTAAATTGTATTGCGCTCTGGGCACTCAAGAGAACGCTTTGCGACTTCAGCTTCCTTGCCTTATTATCTTGTCCCTCAACAATTCGCGGTCAATGTAAATAGTTTTCGATATCTCACAAGCTTCCAAGCAAACTTTTAGCTAATGCTGCTCATGTCTGTCTTCTATATTAGTTCTAAAGAGAAGGGACTGCAACTTCAATAAGCTCAGCTAGTTCAAGAAGCTCATAGATATCATCCATGCCACTCTCAGACGACAGAATGTCCATCTTTTCCAGAAACAACAGAGGAGAATTGCGTCTGGTAAAATCAATGAATGGCTTTCTGCCATATAATGCACCACTCAATGATAATAACTTCACCCTCTCCTGCCGCTCCAGACAAATCCTGTTGCCAAGAAGAAAAAATTCTCTTGAAAGCGAGCGAGTAAATTGTGCTGCTCTATACGAAACTCTGACAGAGGGATTAATAGCATAATTTGAATCTCAACATCATTGTTCAAAACGGGCGCTGTGCATATACGAACGACAGTTATGGGGGCACGTATACCCTATGTTAAGGCAACTTAATGAGACGTCCAAGACAGAGCACTGTATATTAATCATTTGATTCTCACTGTGGCATGAAAGAAGCTTTTATACAAGCATCACTACAAAGTTGGTGGACAAACGGCAAGAACGAGGGCTGTCATCGTACCCTTGCGATGGCAGTGTCGGAGGATTTCATTAGGTTATGTTAGTTCTTCATGGACGACAAAGAGGGAGATGACTGCGGACAGGAAAAGAGTAATATGGTCCCTCAATATTGGCCGAGAGGGGAACTCGATGTAGAAAAGAACAATGGTCATCACAGAGGTCTGCTGAAGGCTGGATATCAACGAAGCGGAAGACGGTAATACCTTCTGCTCGCCCGAGCTCAGCTGGCCCGCAGATGGCAGTCGATCAAAAGCTCCGCGGCGGGTAGGTTGACCCTGAGGGGAACCTGCATGAGGACGAAGGCAAGCTGTCTCGTCCTCACTTGCAGTACTAGGCCCGATCGACCGTTCAACCAATCGTGGTGTAAGCATATGCAGAGTACTCCCTTGATTACTATCTGTATTTCTTAGCTTGGCCCAAGCACTGAGCGTCAGTCCGCCCGCTGCTCTCTTCACCCACACCCCCTTTTCGGCAAAATAAAAGGGATAACACTCTGGTTTTGTGTTTCGTACAGTACAGTAGTCATAAGTCCACTCCATCTATATTTAGGAACTCTTGCTCGTGTACTGTAATGTACATACCAAAAACTCCGCGCCACTGCTTTCCAATCCTTCACACGCTATGCTCCAGTCTTGTACTGGGAGAGGACAACCAATCCACACCGGCACAGTTGACTCTTGGAGCACGCGGACCTGCTCTTCCCATTCAGACAGTTCCTGCTTCCTTTCTCCGCAGCGCACATCTCTGCATTCTTTACTCTGTTTCTTTCTGAACTGCGCCCGCAGCCGCTTGCCTCTTTGCGGCAGCTCAGAGGCTGCCGTCGACCATGGCGAAAACAAGGTTGGAGTCGCTTCGCTATACGTCTTTACGCGGTACTCTGAATATTACTGCAGGGGATGGTGATTGAGTGGGAAACTTCTACCAGAGTGTAAGTGCAGTTGCTGTTGTCGCTCGTTCATGGATGATTCAGCTTTCTCTCGGACACTGAAATATTGCTGGACAGCGAAATTCTACCCACGTCACAGACGCAGAACTCCTCCATGTATCGTAGGTAAAACAATTTTTTGCAATGTATGCCTTTTACTGTTTTTGTCCCGATGTATTCGAAGAAGGAACGTAGCCAGCAGATCCCGGCTTCTATTGTTGGAAGCAGGACGCTCCAAGGAGCGAAGCTTCTCACAATTTCCCGTACTTTGAACACCCAGAAAGCTCACTACGAAATTATGTGTAAGATCAGAAACAACTATCAATGCGCCACACCTATACGTTCCTGTCATAGGGCTCAGCATTTTTGAAGCATGGCGACGTTACAACTTTGGCCGCCCAGCTTTGGAGGGACGGTGTCCACAATGCTAGCCCTACTGCCAGTGCATACAGCGAAGATGGCCTTGTATTCCCTAGAAAACAGTCGGGAAGCATCTGTTTGGCGTCTCCTTGCGATGATACTTCTCCACGTGCTTCAGGAAAGTATCTTTATTCGTTGTTCCTTGAGGGAACGGCTGTCCAGGGGAGCGAAACAATTCACAGTCAATAGAACATGTCAGTATTTCTTAATGTTGATCCCATTATAATGCCCCAGAGACATGCGGAAAGACGTACATGTCTGCAAATATCACATTGAATCGTGTACTCCTCGTATTTCGAAGAAAGTCCAGCATTGGGAGGGCGTTGTGGCTTCCTGGTGGAAGAACCCGGCTTCTTTCTACACATAAGCCAATGTTCAAAGAGGAGGTGTGGCAAAGATGCCCAAACAAATGTCCACCAGTTAGAAAACAGTCAATCCGATGGAAACAGCCGCTGCTGCCGTAGTTCGCCTGAACGTACCCTTTTCCCATGTTGCTGATAAATGTCTTGCGTACAAGAGACTGGCTCTGCGGATAATTTGGTTGAAAGGCAAAAAGGGCTGCGGTGATGTGGTGGTGGCTGGTGCGATGAAAATCGAAGGAGCGGAAGCAAGTTTCGGGTTTTATACAAAAAGCAAACCACCAAAGTGGGTCGCTTCAGCAGCTGTAGGACTCACGAACCTTTGCGGATGCGCGAAAGATGGCTTGGAGACTAATATTATACGGTTGTGTGATTGGGGTATGGATCCAGAATGGGGGTTAAGGGGATTATGGGGAGTTCCCGGCGCTCCCCCGCGTGCCGACGAGATTATCTTAGCGGAAGTCTCGGAAGAGTGATGCAGCCAATTTAGATATCATCCGTACCGATGTCTCAACGAAATACAATTGAAACAATGTGTTTACGGATATAACTGGGATGTTTCAACAAGAGAAGGCTGTTGGTATAAGAGACGAGGATATTACTACGCACTAGCAAAGACACATTCTAATTCTATCTACTGTACATACTCGACTGGAATTTATCATGACGATTATCCACATTGACATATCCGGTACAATACACCACTGATCTTGTACGCATCCGAAAGTACGAACTGATAAGGATCTATGAGATGATCACGATTGGGACTGCCAAACTAAACAATATGCTTGCTCACAACAGTCATTTTCTAAGTGCTTGGATCGGAACTACACCATTTCTTCAGCGGAATTCTAAGACGATGCACGTATATCGTTAAAGCCTTTGACATACAATCTTCGACTTATGCTCATGTACAGTATGTACTCTCGTGTAGTGTCTTGGTCGAATCTCACGCCCCCGTATGGGCCCCCAAAGTTGAGTGTGTTTACGGAGGAAGCCGCTTCTTAGTGAAATCTAAGCGGCCTGGAATCTTGCATGCTGGTTGTGAACTTGTCTTCACTGTGAATGTGTTGCTTCCAACGTTGAGGATTCCTCGAATTCCAAGAAAATACGGTAAGCTGGGAAATAATACATTTAGGCGGGACCTCGTGATCTCAACAAACGTCTAATAATACCAAAATACAAGAATTTCGTTTTGCATTGTGGGAAGTGCAGGAGCAAAACGTTACAGTGGATGGACTGCCTGTCGAAGGCCTCTTTCTCTCACCGATAATAGAAACCCCCGGCAACGTATATTCCAGTCACACGAGACCATAGCAGCAGCTCTGAACACCCACTGTAGATCCCGCTGTAGATCATCTTCGCATGACATGATTTCCGTCTTCGAGTGTTACACCCATGTACATGACATGTCGATAGAAATCCACCTCTGAGCAGCGGGTTTCACAGCGAGTGGATATCGGAAAGCAACCCTTCGACAAGAAATGAAGGAATGGTGATCATGGCATGTACACAGTGATGGAATCCAGGTGGGTGTCGGCCGTCCCCGCCAAAAAATGATTCCTATCACTTTGCATTTCGCAAGACCAAGTGGCTAAGTACATTGTTGTCGGTGAAATGGGGGAGGCGGCTTTGGGGAGCGTGCCGTTCTGTGGTGAGGGTCGGCCGAGTGTCCTCTCCACCCCTTTTTCCCCGCAGCGCCCGTCACCCTCTCTCTTTTATTTCTACGAAATTCCTTCCAGAAGCGTCCACGCGTCCGGCCCGGATTCCGCCGGGCCGTACGCGTGCGCTTCTCTAAAATTCAAATAAAATCTCGGACTACAGTATAAAATCTCCCTCTACAGTAAAAATGCAATTTTCCCTAAAAATATCCCACATACATTGATAGACGTGAAAATCCGTCCGACTCTGGTGAGGCGCATAAGATGCAGACCTCAAGAAAGGATTGAACAATCAATAGAAGTCTCTTTGCGGAGACTCATGCTAGGCATCTTGACACACAAAACGAAGCATGAACAGTTTAACAGACGGCACAATACATGCCTTGGAATTCACTGCAAATCAGTTTCTCAATGCTGCATGCAGTCACTGCCTTATTATTTATTCATGATTCTATTTACCCGACAGATTTTCCTTCAACTGCCTGATAGGCCTGCTACCCTTCACGCTTCAATCTACAGATATCTTTGTTTACAAGCTTGTAGATGATGTCGAATGAACCAACCGTGTCTTCAGCACAGTGACGTGGCGTCAATATACGCGGGGCTAAAGGTACAGTCAAAATGGAAGCTTCATAAACAACGAAATCATTTTGATGTTTGATACTGTATCTGCATTTAAGAGGTTTGCGATGGGTTTGGATTTCTTTCAACCTGCTGCGGTATTGCGAGTCTCAATTGTTTCTCCGCGGACGACGCCGGCCTTTAACACTTGCCTTTTCATAGAAAACGTTATGTTAGTTGAAATAATGTCTAGTATCGAGAGGAGCTATATATAGGCTCAATATATGGAGTACTATATTGCGGGTGTAGCAGAACATGTGAGCGGTTGTGTAATGTGAAAAGTTTATTGATCTCGGGATCACCCCTAGTCTCCCGAGGTGTTCTCAGTAAAGTTGAGTTCCCCACTGAATGTTGTAGGAAATACTGGCTGCACACATTTCTACAGATCGTAAGCCAGTGGCAGGGCTTTGTGAATAGTATGCCTAAATTACTGTGTAAAAAAGATACAGCACATTATCCGAGAGAGTAGTTTGACATGGTAATAGAAACAGAGCAGTAAACGTAGGCTTTGAGCTTGCGGCCCGCCTAAGAGAGAGTGGGCCGCCGCAGATCCAGAACGTAGAAATTAAAACTGTCATGGGGCGGAGGGAGCCACGCAGCGTATTCAAAACATGGAAAGTCCCACATCGGAGCTCTCACTCAGCCGTCAATGTCGTCTTTGTCAGCCTTCTGGCCAGTGTCAACTTCAGAAAAGAAAAACGGAGCTAAATCCTTCCCTGCCAATGAAAGGAGAACCTCACAGAAACCCTGATTTGATACTCCTAAAAACTCCCGCTGAAAGACCTCTCATTCGATGTTGAATGCAGCCGGAGTGGCAAATCACTGAATAAGGTGTGCTACATAGCGCCCGCAAGTTTCCATAAATAGAACATGTAAGACGTAGGCATGGCACCGCATTGGGGGGTGAGGGGTATGGATCAATTAAGCAGCAAGAAAACTAGTGATGGCCTTTCTGACCTACCGTGGCAAGGCGCCCGTTATATGAGCAGATTGATCACGAACGGACAAGAACCAGCGATTGATTTAAAGTAGTGCAGTGGCGCAATGGAACACAAACAAACATTCCATTTATGCACATGACCCCCAAGACGAAGTCTGAAGAGGGTCATAGCATGAGTGTACAACGGTGTTAAGTTTTGCACCCCTCAAGCCAAGAAAAATCACCTCAGACACTGCACATCTCTTGTGACGAAGGACAGCATGTCCATGCGAAGAGTGCAGGGGTTCTATTATTGGATGTGCCAATGTCGAAAATGATCTCATGGTTGAGTATTGGTACCAGACAAATCCGCCATTGACATGAGAGTCAATGATATTCACAAGCACCACAAGCCCAGAATAAAGTATGCGAAACAGTACTTCACTATAGATATAAAAACCTCAAATGTTTGAGTTGCGCCACTCGTACTAGCTCGTGAGAGGTTTGACAAAGTACGTCAGCGCCGGCACGGGTATTTTCGTTCTGCGGTACGTGCAGTATTTTGTAACGTACTGTAGCCGGAGTCAAACTCACTCCAGTGACCACCTTCAACGTGCACAGCACATCACTCTTGATGCAATGCCTCAAATATACAGTTCAGTCCTCACCGTCTCGTGTTCTTGGAAGCATAACGTAAAATATAGAGGGTGTCGGATGCAGCAACTAAACGACAATGCATCCAAGCAAAGCATGCCACAACTTGCCACGAACGGCATTTGTCTCAGAAAAGGAACTAAATGTGACATTAAACGTTTTTAGTGCGACCTCCATACGCGCCTGCTTTTCCCCGAATGATGTCCGTTCCGTCTTTGAGAAGAGTACGGCGCAGAATGGCAATATGCCCCAGAAAAGAATTGTTTCTCTTTCTATGCCGTGGAGAGCACTTACACCTACTTCGTTCTTCTACTGCCTTCGCAATCCTGCAGACAGAAGGCAGT